CTTTTATTTTATATTGATAAAGAGCTAAGTTTAGGAAGTCTAATGAGACTTTCTGAAAGTACAGCTCTACAAACCTCAGAGAGTAAATCACTACTTGGGTTTTAGAATTCTTGAAATATTCACATCCCTCCAATTTTTTTAGAATTTCCTGTGAGCTTTGAGAAGAAAGGGCTTTTTAAATTTATTTTTAGGATCAGCTTTATCAATTTTAGACCTAAGAAATGTATTACACAACTGGGTCCAATGGTCAGACATGCTAAGCTCGTGACAAAGTCAAACAGGAACAGAAAGCTCTCCCTATTGATATGAAGGTATCATTTTTTGATTTTACCAATTTTAAGAAACAATTTTTCTTCAAGAAAATAATTTTAAAAATGAAGTTAATACAAATAAAGCCAAAGAGGAAACATTCACCTGAGTAGTCTTTAAATATGGTTTTCCTTTCCTTCATCACGCAGTAAATCTAAAAGAATTTAATAATCAGAGATTTCTATTCAGGATGCACTTTGTGCAGTCATAACTTAAAATATCAAAGTATTACTGCTTACAAATCAGTAATTTAACGCCACATCTAAAAATGTGGTGCCATACCAAACCATATTTTTCATTCCACTTTTCCACTTCAGCTACCTTAAGTACCAATCCAACGAGAAAAAGCACACCAAAGTGCTGGTATATACACAAAAAACATCCAAGTACTAATGCAGCCTTCAACACATCCAAGTTAGAGAGGCAAAAATGCTTCTGGTAGCTTGTGTAGAGAACCAGAAATATTTTCCAGGTCACTGTTCCTCTTTCCTTGCAACCTTCACACGGGAGTTCTGCTGCAATATTTATTCCACTCATGCTGCTCTCTGGCCCATCAGGCTGCTCAGCACTGCAGCTGCAGAACCCACCTGCTACTCCCAGGCAGTTTTGGTTTTGCCACTTCTCCATTCCATCACTTCTGGTGAAGAGGATTTGCTCAGTCTCCTGGAAAGGTTTGTCTCCCTTCTGCCTTTTTGCAACACTGCAAATGGGAATCCCGGGTGGCTCCTGCTAATTACCCATGTGCATTGGGACTCTAATTCTTCCTATTGTTAATACACCCATCTTTAGCCACAAAGTCACTTCAAATGCTAATCAGAGAGCAGCTGATCCCAAGCTAATATTTCATATACTCAGGAGAACGGATCTGCTGGGGGTATTAATGACAGCAGAGCAAGAGGAGCTTGGAAAATAGTTCCCAAAAGATATTGTATCACTTCTAGTTCAACCCCCTAACAAATAATTTGCTTGTGAATGTGGAGCTTTGTCCCTTCCCTCCCTTGCAGAGGGAGGCCACTTTACAGACAAGAGGAGACTGAAAAAATTAATTTTTTCTTTGACAATGTTGGAATCTAATTAATTAGCTGTTAAGTCTTATCTAATTTTTCCATGTAAAAGTTTTTGTGTTTATGGGGTGCCTGAAACATCAGTTTCAACCCAAAATCAAGACAAACATTTCTACACTATTGAATAGTCCAGGACACTACTCAGTCCTGCTGCTGAGAGCAATGTTAAATAACTTGGGAAATTTCTATGTTCCCCACAATACGCCATCCCTTCAGCCTGATCTGTGGAAAAAGCTGTGGCAACACTATGAAAAAATCAGCATGCAAGTGTCTGAAGTAGAACAAGGTCTGAGAATGTCTTGAGCTGACAGTGCTTCCACAGAGCACGTTTATGGTCTGAGTGGACGTGACATTCCTCCTGAATCTCCTGAAATACAGAAGCTCCACCAAAATGTCAACTCAGGACACCAGAACATGCAATGTCCCACATAAAATCCACACTGCAAGTATTTCTCATCATGGCTTTTTGCCTGTAAGAAAACTCAAAGTTTCCACTTCGCTAACAGTGTGTTCCAAGTCACTTTGAAGGTGCTTATGTGCAACATTGGGAACAACCCTGTACATCCCAAAAGAGGAATCAGCACAGCTCCCAAAGCCTGCAGCAGTGCCCAGTTTGAGTTCTCATTTCAGAAGCAATTTGCTCAATGGCAAAATAGAGATTCAAGTCAAGTTACCTGCACTACTTGCTAGCTGGAAAAATTATCTATGAGTTGGAAACACACGGCATTTTAAAGAAAATCAAGGAAAATGTATGGACTTCTGATAAGTTTTTTTCCTCATTTTTCTGAAGATGTGAACAAGAAGTTCCTTCTTCAATGGGTTTCAAATTGTCAATCAAGTAGAAAAATCAAAAGCTGTGAGTTTTCTACATTATTTCCTCTAGTGAACTACCAGTTCAAGTCTCCATTATAAGATATTCATCTCATGTCTGAATATTCTTCAGTTTTAATTCATGGTGCTGATAAAAGACAAAAGATCCTGCAGCTGTACAAAAGTTCAAACAGCTCAAAAAGCAGCAGACACATCCAGCTGTTTTGAAAAGCACCATGAGATTGCTACAAATCTGGGATAAAAAAATTCCCTTCATGTTCCCAGAATGTTCAGCCATAGAGTAAACATCCACCTAAATGAGTGTCATGCACATAATACAGATGTGACTGGCAATTGCATCAAACGTATTGTACCACCTCAGTGTGTTTTAGATACAAAGAACATCAAATTTAATGTATTTTATTGTCAGGGCTCAGAATCATATGCAAAACCGCAAAACCTTCACATACAAGTTATGTACATCCTTTCAAGGCCACGCCTGCCCAGATTTCAGTGTTGTCCCATGTATTTTAGATATAACACTGATACACTTGTCTTACACAAATGCTGAAACGAGTGTTGGCATAACCACCATACCAGGTTATGACAGAGCAGTGAAATGTTTCACTCCCAAGTGATGTCCGTGGGATTTCTGGGGGTAGGATAGAAAGCCCCAAACCTCCCCCTGGCCTTCCTCTTAAAACAGCTTTGAAAAGAGCATTTTATGCATAAAAGGCAGCTGGTTATGTTTTAACAGACTCTTGTGTAAACAGAAGTGCTCAACAGATGTGCAGTGCCTATCAGAGATGGTTATCAGCATCATTTTCATTTCCAGAACCAATAAAACTGGACATCATGCCTATTCTCTGAGCCATTTACCTACCTCAGAAGATAAACTGGATTCACTAATATCTGCTATGGGATTGATAAAAACCTGATGTAAAAAGAATTGAGTATTAGAAAAAGAGAGAAATGAGAAGGTCCAGCTACAGCAGCATTTCAGTCTGCAAATAGGCTCTCCACTGATCTGAAACTGCAAATAGACAAGTCAAAGTGAAGGGAGGGAAGGCAAAAAGACTCTGAAGCAGGTTTATATTTAGCACCAGGTTAGGTGGAGAGAAAAGGCTCAAGGACAATGGCACGTCTTTTCTTCCTTGAGCTAAACCCCCAATGCATTTTTGTGAAAGAAAGCAAGTCTTCTGCTTTTAACTGCAGCTCAAAACTGCATTATGGTTTCTGGGTGCTTTGATTTTTTTTCTTTTCTTTCTAAATCTCAGTACACAGGCAGCTCCAGGGCTCAGTAGGAGAACTCTTAAAAGCAGGCCTGCAGAAGTGAAGAGATCAGTCATTCCCTTGTCCCCGTGTTCCTGGAGCTCCCCCGCCCAGGCAGCCGCGGATGAGATTTCACGCAACCAGACATGGTCTTTTTAAACAGCCTGAAAGATTTAAAATCCTCCATGAGCAAGCAGAGCATTCCTTCTGATTGGAAAGAGAAACACTGAAACGTGTTTCAATTCTTCACAAAGGTCACGGTAACCTTCAAAATTCTATCAAACTTCTTCTCCCCTCTCCAGCTCTATTAACTTTAGTAATTTGTAACGTTCTTTACAAAATATACTGGAGTTTGTCAGAACACAAATCCCAATGTGAACATGATGCAAGCAATCTTTGCTTAGTTCGTTTTTCCTAGGCTGCTTGAAGTTTCCAAAGTCCAGATGTTTTTCCAACTGTCTTCCCTGTCCCACGACTGCAAAAACATAGGTCCTTTCTTTAGAATTACCATTTTATATACATTTTCAACTTACTCAGTGCTTCTCAGTCTATTTTTTCCAAATAAACATACACATACTTTGGATTAAATGACTTACTGTATTAGAAACATGACATTAGAAAGCTTTAGAAAGTATGTTCAGTATATTTTGACAAATACAAACGTGCTGAAAGCGTGACATGTTCCATGAAACAGTACAGAGCTTTAAAATTGTGGGAAAAATTCAAACAGCTTCCTACATGCAAGGTCTATGGCTATGCCTCCAACCTTTTACGATTAACAATCTTGTACCATTAACCATTATTTCCAACCTTCACCTTTAAAATGTTACTGTGCATTTAACAGCGTAGGAAAATGCCTGATAATCTTAATTAGAGCTTGTCAGGGAGCTAATTTTAACCCCCTGCTACCCCAATCTAAAAACAGCAGGGAAAAAATTGGAAGAACTATTAATTTTTATCACCTTTACCCAAATACTGTCCAGCCAGAAGCAGATGCATACATTTCAGAGAATTCTTTGCTTCAGACCACTGAACTCTTAAGCATTAAACCTTTGAGATGCATTTCAAACCTGCTATTTGACACCACTGGAGAAATAAAATCACTTCTCAGCTCATATGAAATTGAAGATATCCCATTTAGAGTGTAAAACACGAAGTAGCAATGTGCTGCTTCTGCTAAAACCAGATTTACCAATAGACTGCTTTGGTTAAGGATGCACCAACTACAGGATTTCCCTTCACATCACTGCACGGGATCTCTGATGAAGGCTGAGTTCAGATCATTCAGTGACTTCTCATTACAAACATACTGTCAAAAAAAGGACTGTGTTCTGTTACACATTTTTACACAGCTCAGTCATCAGCAGTACCTGCAGCGACAGAGCAGATCCTTCCACAGAGAGAAAAAGGTAGTGTAAAATAAAATTATTTTGTTGTTCTAAAGCTTACAAAAATCCACTACAATTACCAATGAAAAAACAACACAGAATTTTGAACATACAAATCAGTGACAATTTAACTCTGGAAAAGATTTCTGGAACTCACCTATGGTGCAGTTTGTGGTTATTTTTCTTCGCTTGGGGTTGTGTCGTAGCAATTCTAACTCTCTCTTGGTCGGCTCCCATGTTGAATACTTCTCTCCAATGCCTAAGCAGATGAAAACAAAGTTTCAGGAAGCTCTTTAGTAAAAGTATTAAAAATTTTGTTCACATCAAAACTTTCAACTTGCTGTCCATTAGGTTAGATTCAATTTATGCACAACTTCAGGGCACTGACTGCTTTTTAACCCCTTCTCAAAAAATAGGGTTTGGAAAGGTATCACCAAATTTTCCAGCAAAGAACTAACGTAAGAAAAGAAAGGTACTTCTTTACTTATAAAGAACAGATAGGCCAATAAACTTTCCATTATTGGATTATAATCCTCCTTTCAGTTAAAAAAATAAATTCCAGCACAAGAATAAACTTGCTAATACACAAAAAACATTTCTTTGTGCTCAGAGGAGGTTAAATGACAGAAACCAGCATCGATGAGCTTGACAAGTTATAAAATAAATCTAAACTGACCCAACCTAATGGACAGATAATCTTTAGAGAACAGCAGAATTTAGTAATTCAATATACTAAATAGTTGCTACATGTCTTAGGATATGCCATTACATAGAATGACCTCTCCTTGTACCATTAGACAGTTTTAATTTTTGACATTCACTTGGCTGATATATCTAATGTTATCTAAAAATTAAATTAGTAGTAGGTTTAAACACCACCCTCCCTCCACCAACCAGCCAAAACTCTCCAAACATTAAACTACCCTTCCTCATGAGCTAAAATCTGTCATTATTCTCTTTGAACACTAACATTGCATTTCCAGTAGATTTCTTTTGCTCAAAGGAAAGTGCAGTAGAAATGAGTCAGGTCAGTAGTATGGAGACCAGATTTGAAATCAGCACAGAGCTGTGTTCAGTGTAAACCTGATATGAGAAAAATACAACAGTGAAGACTCACGTGCTGACCAGCTCAATACTGCTGCAGCTTTCTATGTAGCACAGAAATTGCTGTGCAAGGTCAATTATTGTGAATCACAAAGGCATCTCGGCATTAAAAATAAAGAATTATAAGATTGCAAGCAGTCTATTCTAAAACTGAGAATTAAAGTCAATTAAGAGTTATTTTTCACAGAACGCATGGAGCAGAAGCAACGCTTTGCTACAGAAAATAAATTATAAATCATACATATGAAAAGGATAGTAGAAAAATATAGCTGGAGGCTTACACATTCTGCATAATATACATTAAATTTTAATAGCTCTTTGATCTTCATTTTCAGAAATAGCTATGCTTGTCAGAAGCTACCCTCCCAAAAATGTTCAATTCATAGTTACTACTGACCCTCCAGGTTCTAGTAATAGAAGGTCTGATTTTTTGATTCTCAAGGACTAGAGAATTCTTATTTACACAAATATACCCATCTCTCACTTTATTTGATTCAACAACAGATTATGGAAGGAGCTTAAGGAACAATACCAGAATCCCTTTCCTTTATCCAAGGTTCAGCATCAAGCTACACACCCAGGAAACAGAAAAGGCAGGGAATGACTGAGACTGATGAGATAACACAGCTGCAATGCTTTGGACACACTGCACGTCTGCAGAGACCCTTTGGAGACGCACAGATGGACACTTCACAGAGGATGGAACATTGGCTTCCAACAGGTTTGGCATTAGATGTCTCCAGCAACCCTGGTCATATTTGTAATGCTCCCTTAGGAATTTATATAAATTCATTGGTAACACAGTGTTAGTACCAGCAATTGCATTGTGCAGCTGTAAATTCCTGTGTTTGGGTTCACTGCAGTTAAAAGATGGCCAAACACAGTCAGTCAAATCAGTGTGATGAACCCTGATAATAATTTAAAAATACCCCCTTGGATATGTTTAAATCCTGGTTTAAGTTAAATACAACAAAATTCATACCTGGAAACACATGTGCACTTTAGGCATGCAATAGCTCCATGTATATCAGCAGCACTATTCATATATATTTATATATATATATCTATATATAATTATATAGTTTAAATGCTGGAGAGGATGGGGACCAAAGCATGTCACAAGAGCAACTCTAAGTAAGGTTAAATATGACAGACTGGATTACTTTTAAGGATTCTGGATGAATCAAATATTTGTTCAATTAAAAAGAAATGAAAGAAAACAAAAAAAACATGTGCAATTAATGCCACAAACAGAGCAAACCAGACAGAAAACATTCTTGCAGAAGCCTTTCATTAGAAGGAGCACAAGTTAAGTCAGACACAGAAATTAAAATGTGTTCTGTTCCAGCTATATAACTTAGCAGGAATGTTGAGGTTATATTACTCTTGAAAATTTGGAAAAGGCAGAGCCATTTATTAGGAATGGTTGGATGTTTAAAAATTCAAAACAACAAAAAAAAACAACCAAGAGACAAAGAAGGAAAGAGGTTTAATAAAGAGGTCTAATAACACTCACAAGCATGCCAAAAACTCCAATATAAACTACCTTAAACAAAGATTTGCAAACCATGCATAGGTCACTATTTACAATTAAAAGAAATTAGCGTTAGAGAAGTGAAAATTAGTCATTTTTAAAATGCTGCATTAAAATAGTCAGACATTCAAGTCAGCATGTGAAATCTCCATCTAAGAAATTATTTTATTGGGTCTAATACTCAAATTGGCATTTCTCAGAGAATTCATCAGGGGCATAGGGGTGAGTGAAGGGAAAGGCATTGAAGGCTCTAGTTTACAATAGTCACAATTTTTCAGTCATTGTTTATTTTGCTAAACTTCAGCAAATTCCAATTTTTCCCCTCCCAAAACTTCAAACATTAATTAAAACAAAGGGCTCTGTGTATTCTCACCTCCCCTGTTATTAATATTCAATACCCAAGGAAAAATTACTGACCAAGTTGCAACTTGTTCAGAGTTACATCAGATAACCCTGAATTACAGCTGGACTAGGGAACTCAGCACACTGGGAATTAATACTACAGGAATATGAAATGAATCTCATGATTTGGGGGTTTTCTTAAAGCTGTTTTTTTTTTTTTCTCCAGGCATCATGTTGTTATGTGAGCATCTATTAAAGTATAAACTAACACGCTTCAAGCACTGTAGAGAGTAATTTGAAAATATACTGCATTTACCCTTCAGTTTTTAAGCCCATCAGTTTCTGCAGACTGGATTCACTTCTGAAGTTCTTTGAGTTGGCTACAAGATCCGAGGTAAATTAACTCTGTGGTAGCAATATAAACGCAAGACACCGAGTTTGGGGTTTGTGTTCCTCTTGACATTCAGTTTGGAGCAAGAAGGGATCTTTCACATAACAAGAAGGAGGGAACACATGGATTGGAACAATGGAGAGAGAAGGAAAAAACCTGACATAATTCTCCATTATTCCTCCCATGTACATTTCTCTTACCTTACATAAATTTTTGAGGAAACACATGGATTCATAGTAAGACTTAAAAAAGAACCTATGCCATGACTTTAAAGAATAAAAAAGTCTACATTGCAGACTCCAGTAATTTAAAGTGTTGTTGTCTATTCCTTGATTTTCTGTCTTCACTGGTCACTACAGATTAGTTCTCCAGGGACAGAAGTTGCAATGTGCATATTCATACAAATATGCATTTGTGTATACATATTTAATGTGCCATTCATTAGTCAGTTAATCAGCACAGAGGCTTCCTGCCTGGCAGTTCCTCTGGGTGAATCTTCAACCTTCTCTGCACAACTCTGTGGTCCATGATGACCAGAGGAACAATCTTGCAGCTCTAACTCCCTGCAATATAAACTACAGCAGGCTGATGTCCAAGGAAGGACAAAGTGGCTGCATCTCAGTCCACAAGGCACAAATCTATCAATCAATAAGAACAACATTACTGAGAAATTACTCTTTAAACCTGCATATTTAAATGCAAGGAACTGGGGGAGGTTTCCTCTTCATAATGTAGATCTGTTATGCTGTTGCAGATGATTAATTTGGTGCTCCAAACACAGACTGAAGGAGCTTCCAAAAGAGGTACAGAGCTTGAATGAAAGGTTTTTAAACATATTACCATTTTGTCTTGCTTTGAAAACCAGTGCTTTGTGCTACAACATTTTAAGATGTATTTATTGTTCTAGGACTCACAATCCTTCTTTCCTCTGACTCCCTTCCCTCAAACAGGGAACAAGCAGGAAGCAGACTGGGATCTGTAGTAGGAACTAAGTGAATGCAGCTATCTTTTGAGCCAGCAGAAAAGCTCTCGTTAATACGATGTTAGCTGCTATTTTTAAAATTGGAAATGAGGTTAAGAATGGTTTGAAGTCATATCAGCCCTGACTAAGGCTGTCACATTGAAACAGGATGCCATGGATTCCGGAAGAGACATTACTAGACAGAAGTCATCTGTCTTCAAATACAGACTTTCCCACTTTAAGAAAACATACCCCCCAGAGGCCACTGGAAATGGTAGATGACAAGCTTTTAAAACTGATGCTTACAAACTACTCAGCTTAGAATAAATTATATTTCCTTTCCAAACAAAAACAAAAAAGAGTAAAGTTTTGGAGGAATTCTATCAAGGAAAGGGCATATGAAATCAAGTCTGCTGCAATAATTCAATCATTGGAACATATCCAAACAAGAGGAAAACGATTTGCACGATAAAACTGGCATTCTTAACTGTGATTTATGTCTAAAATGGCAGGATAATCAGCAAAGGGACGCTTGTTAGTGAGGTGCGTCGCCAGCCCACGCCTCTTACCTGTCATTGTACACTGGTAGTGAGAAACCACTGTTGGGGTGAAGGCTAAAAAAGAAAAAATTAGGGAAAGCAAACTGAATAAAACAAATGTGTGTACATATATTTGTGTGTAAATATTTCTACACAGATACTGTGTGTGTACCATGAAAGCACAGGTGTGTAAGTAAGCTGGCATGTTCTATTTAAAAAAAAAGTTTTTAAAAAAAATCACACACAAGGGTGGCATTTCATGTGAGGGGAACAGATTCATTGCCCTATACCATGTAAATAAGCCTAAAGGAGCAGACTGTTACATTCTCTACCTAATACAGAGCTAACTTTTGATATTATGGCAAATTTTGCAGGAATAATGTTACATATTTCTATATTTTTTATTGCAATTAAAAATAAAATATTTTTGCTACAATTAGGTGTGGTGCACGTGTTAAACCCAGTCTGACTCCAGGAAAGCAAGAACTAACATCTCTAACTAACATGGCCTGCACTACTCTCTCTAAAGAGCTCACTCTTCCCCTTAGTGTCTTTTTGCCACTGAACAAATGGGAGGGATAGGTATGATTAAAAACAGAAACAAGAAATTCAGGCAGGAAAACCAAACCTTGTAATTTCCAAGCTTTTCGTTGTTCTTCTTTGGCAATTTGTTCCATGTCTTTGTCGTATATGTAATCTTGACACATAAAGCAGTATATACCCCCATACAAAAGGTCTATGGCTGCAAAACAGAAGGGAAGTTGGGGAGGAGGGAAAAAAAGATGTGAGTTCATAAACCAGAAGGCATTTTAAAGCAGGCTTCCAAGTCAGGCAATTCTTTCTTCCAAGCAGTCCACAAAAGAAGAAAAATCTGAACCTTAGAATCTGGAAGGGAAAAAAAAAAAAAAAAAAAAGAGAAAAAAAAAAAAACCCCAGACGTTTTTCCAGTTTCAGTGTGAGTTATTCAGTTGCTTCTGGCACAGCAAGAAAACTGTACAGGACAACAAAGCATCAGCTGTCTTCAAGCTGTTTGTAATCCATAATTTACCTTTAAAACACCTGAGTTACCAAGAGCATCAGGACAGTGACTGACTACAACGCACACAGAAGCAGCCCTGTAAGAGGTGACGAGTTTGAACTGTCTCTTCCTAAGACTTCAGCAATTTCTCTTTGAGGCCATTAAAATAATCAGAAAGCACCAAGTTAAAATCCAAATGAAGGCTCAAACAAAAGACAGCACTGCAAATTCAAAGCTATTTCTCCAGGGGAAAGGTTTTCCAGGGTAGTTTATTCCACAGGTTACTCCTGTCTCAATTTTTCATTTCACACATGCTTTCAGAACAAATGAACACTGACCAATGTTAAAAATATTTTTCTTGCACAAACTTAAGCAAAAGAAAGCCAAGAAACAAAATGAATACCTGGCTGAGAAATGTCAGTTTACTCCAACATATACCATAGAAAAAGTGCAAAGTAATCATGGTAAACTGCTGATTTTCAGTACATAGATATGAAAAAAAGCCACAATCACTGGAAAGTTAAAAATCAGTGGGCACTAACAAATCTTACGTAAACACAATCTGCACCAGCAAACACCGAAGAAACACATCACCCTTCTCCCTCAAATGCAGAGCTTCCATCTATTTCATTTTTTAATTCCTTTTATTTCCAGATAACTAGCATTATTAGAATAGTCTTACTGCAATGGAAACTTGTTTTAAACACAGGAAACCATTACCACATTAGGTGGCCTGTGAGGAACAGCACTGCTTTACTCTAAAGTGCTCAATAAGACAAACCACATGCCATGCAGCAGGAATTCTGCCATGGATCTCAGCAGGCAAACACAGGTGAAGTTTCTGTGCTGCACTATTAGTGGGGCAGTGCTTGTGGTGAGGTTCTTTGGTAAAGTTCCTTTCTAACCCCATCTCCTCCATCCTTCACAGCCTCTACCCCCTCACAATCTGCTGTCCCTCTCCTTTAGACTGTTACAAGATATTTTTTTCCCTCCTTCCTCTGTTTTAAAATTCACTTTCTCAATGATTATTTCAGTTGCTTGATACTTTTCCTATTATTCAATAAACCCAAATTACTTTTAAAGAGTCTTTTTATCTTGCTGATGTGCTCCATTCATCTGTCCTGCCTATTTGGACGACACTCAGTTTGTGGAAGAGGACAAGGACTGTGTTACCTCATGTAAAGTCACAAACTCAGGATTTTCATTACCTTGTGTAATGTCCCAACACCAGAATATTTCACCATGATGCCCAGAGGACTGAATAAACTCCTTTAGCAGAATATCCCAAAAGGAGACAAGACTGAGCTCTGGTGGAGGATTAGTAATAAAACACTATGCAGCTGGGGGGCTGGTATATCATAACTTACAGACCATTGGAGTTCTACAATATTTACTCCATTACTTATTGCATTACCAGTTCTGCACAGTTTTCTACAAAGCAGCTGCTGAAAATCCAAAGTATTCATCTTAAAACACAAAACCAAATATTGTTCTCCACGTACTTTCAACATCCCACCAACAGATCCCCAAAGAATAGAACAGGGCTGGCAGAATACTGAATAAATAGGATTTTGTGAGCACTAATAGTTACAATTTACCATCAGAATGTGTAGGCATAGCTGTGCTCAGAGGATTCCTTACTTTTCCTTTCTTCCTGGATTTACATGCCTGAGCAATGAAACAGAGGTGTCAAGATCTAAATCAACAAGAGACCACCTTCCACAAACCACTTGTTCAGAGCAGGAGGAATTTCTGGTGTAAAGGATCAGAAAGTTTCACAGAAACACTGGTGGAGTTAAAGCTGTAATTGTTCAGTACCTGATTAAGGACTCTTGAGGAAATATCCTCTCTCCAGCACACTTATGGGAACAATGCACTTGTACATTTGCCAACAGTTCCAATGTCTTTTTAATGACTGCAAGGGGTTTTGGACAAATTATCTCAAGCACCAGTGACAAGGTGGCCACACAGGCCCGGCCACAGCATGGAGGAAGGGCAGGAGTTTCTCATGGAGCCAGAACACAGCTGCTCAGGCACAGAGTCCATTAAGAAAGCTTGGAAGTTAATTGTTTCGGGTTAATGTAATTTGATTTTTTCCTTTGAAATACACTTAGACTTTCTTACGCTGGTTGTCTTGAGGTGAAGAAGAACAGAGGAACCACTGAAGGGACAGTTTTAATGACAAACTTCCCAAGCGAGCAATTCCTTAGTACTGACTGAAGTTAAACCACACCCAAAGGACAAAGTCCACACTAAACTTTCTCCCTCAAAGGACTGGGGGAAATGAAACAAATTTCATCTCATTGTTAGACTAAACTTTTTTTGTTTTAAACTAACGTGCCATGAAGCTCTATCCTAAACTGCAACACCTGGCCAAAAAATTCTGTAAAAAACACAACAGTAAAGCATGAGAATGCACGTGCAGCAAATTTCACCACTGGTATTTGCATTGATATTTTGGATCACAAAACTAACAAAAAGGCCTCAAATTCACAAGAAGTTTGGGAACTACCAACCTAGGAATAATGTTCAGGTGTTTTGGATTAACCCACTGCCAAGTCTGCCAGGATACCTCACATTCCTCACCATGAACATCTCTTTTAGGAATGGCAGCTACTCCCAACTTCCAGGATCTGCTTTTCCTAAAACTACTCCAAACCTTCTCTCAGGAAAGTACAGGGGGATGAAATCAGTGAACTTCAGTTTTAGTTTAATACACACACACAGAATTTACTACCCTGGGAAAATAAAATATACATTAAGTAGAAACCTACCTTTTTCTTTCACAAGGAAGAACAAAAAGCAATTTTAAAAAATCACAATGTCATTTTATTAAATTTGATCCATCTAGATTCCTGGTTTAGGAATTCAAAATACCTACTATCATAGGCAGAGCAATTTAAGAATGAAAAGACCTCTTGGAATATAACATTTTTCTTTGCTTTTATACCTTCTGTGATTACAACAAGCTTCCCCTCCTCATACCCCTTTACATACAAAATTATAAGAAGCTGCAACCCAAGAGAGGAATGAAAATACATTTTATTTTTCATTTAAAAATAAAACTATCAGCCTGGAAAAACAAGGAGGCAGCACAGAAGATCATGCAGGAACAACAACAATTTTATCTACTGGTGCAAGGAACACAAAGTTTTAAAAAACAACAGCTCTGAGGTGAAAGTTTAAATCTGGCAGCAAAAAGTTTTCAAACTGCATCTGGGAGCCAAGTAAAGTGTTTTACTTAAGCCTAAGTGCTTTACTTTTCCAACTACATCCACTGATGTCCTTGTGAAAATGTTAAAGAGACCAGAGATGATGGGAACACAACAAAAGCAGGGAAGTGTGCCACATCCAGAGTGTGCACATCTCATCTAGCTGAAAAACCTTGGGTGTTGAGTTTTTGAAACATACAGTTTAAAATAACTGACTTTGCACGGCTGGGAATGGGACACTTCACCATAATAGTCAATACCATTCATGAGATTTGAGATATTTGTAAATCATGTTTTGGTATCATCTCCCTTGGATCACTGGGTGCACTCAAGTAGAGTCCCACAGCAACTCAGAATTCAGGTCAGTTTTTACCTGTACTGAAATTAATTCCATTGTGAGTTTCTGTGACTCAGTCTTGGTGTATTATCAACCTCAAATCAACACACTCTGAGTTCTATGCAAGAAACCTGCATTTTCTTCAACTTCTGTAACAAAGGAGGCTAAATTGGCAATTCTTTCAGACCATTTTAAGTCAATATCCAAAGCTAAGTCATGTTCCCTGATTTCTCACTTTGAGTGTTAATCATTAAACCCATTCCAGGTAATTGGCTCAGGTTCCCAAGAAGTGATTTGTTAAACTTCAGCCAGTTCTCCACTGGATCTTGTCTCTGATCTATCAGCACAAAGCAGGCATCTGATTTTCTTCCTCCCAATTTCCTGGCACCTGGAATCTGTACTACAGGTCAGAATTCCCAAACTGATAAGAAAGGATGAAAAGAGGTGGAAATGGGACTACATTTGCTAAATTATGATCCAGCCATTGAGAACTGCAGGTATTTAGAGTTAGGGGGAAAAAACCCAAAAACCAAACCAAAAACAACCCCCAAACTTCCTTCTGCTGCCAAAATCTTTTCATCCCCATTAAAAACAACAGTCATAGTCAAGCATTATCCTTCCCTCCCACACTATCTTCTCTTAATATTCAAAATAAAACTATTCCATTAAGTGCTGCTTTTTCTTCTGTTTTCACACCAGGAGCCAACAGGTGAGAAGTGCTTTTGTGGCTCTGAAGTCTCCAAGATGCTTATTGGATCCATATGGATCTAGAATTTTAATGTTTAAATTTGATTTGCCTGCAATCCAAACATGGCAAGCACCCAATACTACCCTGCAAACCACTTAACACCAGGAGCCAAATGGGCAGCCCTCTGTGCTGTACACTCTGTGATGGTTTAGAATATCATCCTACAACTCCATATGAATCCAAGCCAGGAAAGATAAGAAAAAATGTCCTGGTATCCCTCTGGAATCTAGATAGCAAATATGCTTTTAACTGTTAATATAGAGGAACCACAGTGTGTCAAACCATTTTATGTTAAGTTGTTATGAGTGGAATATTAATTCTAGCTCCTTGACCTCATTCAGAAATACATGGATTGTATACACACAGTACCTACATGTATGTGCATGCCCCAATATGCTGCACAGGAGGCTGCAGCATTCCTATACTTACGCTGTCCGATTATAAAATATATTCTACCTTTTGTCAGTCTTCTCCCTTCCCTCCTCTGACCCTACAACTTTCCACAGTTCCCCTCTCTGCAGCAAACCTTTGAAAACTGAGAAGAATTAAATCCTCCTGCTACAGCACCTCTTCTTGATCCCACAAAATATTATTCAGGTTTCAAGGAGAAAAATTGTTAAACACTCCCTTACTTCAACTTGCTGGGTTTGTTTTTTTTTCAGAAATATGGGGGAAGAATCCCCAAAGCACAGTCACCATGTTTTGAGCAGCTGCACATGATGTAATACAAACTGTTTCTACTCATCTGCATATTCTCATCTGAACAACAGTGGAGACTTATTTTAAAAACACTGTTTTCAGTAGAAGCAGTAGCAAGATCCAGAACTGGACAGAAGTTTGTGGCTGGGTCTGAGGCAAGCAGATACATCCAGAGCTGGTAATACACAGGTAAATCAGCAAGTTTGCTTTCTGAGGGGTAAGAATATTCCAGGTATAGAGAACTCTTCAGGAGTCCTTTCTGATACTAAAAGGAGCTTTTGAGGAATGGCTGGCAGGAGCTTATCACTACCTGCACCTTCCAGAGCAGCTCCCAGCAGAAGAAAGTTCCAATTAACTTTCCTGCTGCCTCCTTGCGAGCCCAGTCTGGCTCCAAGCTTGAGCTGAAGCCCAGGAATGTCATGCTGCAATGTGCCTCACGTAAGCAAATGAGGATTTCCCTGCAATACTTTGCACAGTACATCCCAGAGCAGCAAATATTGTTAATGGCAATCAGGAATATTGGAAGTTCATGCCAGATCCTGCAACTGACCTATGCATCCAAAATGCTTTCCTCCTTTTCCTCCTCTTCCCATCAATGGTCCTCCAGCTGGCATCACAAGGATATTATGTTGAATAATGTCAGTACAGTATTTTGTACCTTCTGCTATCAAATTTCACTTCATTTTTTTTTTGCTGGAGTCACTGAGGTTATTTAATTCACAAGGCTACCCAGCCTCCTCAGTACAAGTAACACCTCTGAACTTTGTGACCACCAGGAATTTCATACACAGACAAAATTCCTTCTCCTCAATTACTAGAAAATAGCAGTAAACCAGGACTGGATCTGCTAGTTAAGTCTGTGTCCTACACACTCTGCTTTCAGTTCATTCATCATCAATTTCCCTTTTTTCTGCCTGCTATGCACCATGATTCTCATATTGATCCTTGCCACTTCTACCTCAAGTAATAATTTCCAAGGAGCAAAATGTCAAATCCTTTACTTGCTCCAGACAAGTCAGGTTCAGTGCATTTCCTTTTTTCTATGAAAATCAGTTATATTATCAAAAAAGACATTCCTGTGACACAATCAATCTCTGACAGAACAGAACACTGTGTGCTGCTTTCTATTCACCTTCATCTCCTCAACAGACTTCTCCACACCATCACCAAGTAAAGCATTAGAACTCAAAATCAAGAGGCTGGTAAAATTCCTAGATGATGTTTTCTACAACTTTCTGAGCCTGGATGTGAACAGAAAAACCAAACTGCAACTCCAGCACTGCAGTAAACTGTGCTGGGAACAGCTTTAATTGCCCTTTTCACGTTGGGTGTAATGAAAATCTTTGCTGTTTAAAAAAGAACTGGCAGAATCAACACTACAGTCAATATCTTCCAATTCAAATGAAAATTAAACAGTTTTTGCTGTCATCCCTTTACAGAAGTGTTCTGTTTCTATACATTAAATTTCAGACAGGTATGCACTAACACCAATAAATAGATTTTTCCCTTTTACCAACTTCAGTATAGAAATGAGCTTTCTATCATGTTTCCTCTGAATCAGATGAAAAAAATAATTTGTTTTCTACAGGAAGTAGAAGCTTTTTCAATTGTACCAAAAATCCTCAACTTAATCTATGAGCATTATCATCAGGCTTACCCACCCAGTTCCTCTCACCACAAATGTATTTATTGGACTGAATTTTACATCAGCATATACTTAAAGAAAACAGTTCCTCAAGCAACAGTTTGTGATCTAATAAATAATGAATGTACTCTAACAGGACCAACTCCATAATGAACTGTTTGCCAACATCTCTAGAAATGGAATAATAGTTCAGTCTTCCAACTATTTCTTGCTTAGTCTTGAAGCCACTGAACCTCACTCCTGCTAATGCACCTCTGTCAATTCCTGAACGACAGCTTGAGGCCTCAGAGCAGATCAAGACTTCATCCAAAACCTGCATCAGAGGTGCTGTTTCAGAGACTGCTCAGGTGTTAAAAGTGCATCTCTAATAGAGAGAGGCACAGCATGGACATGCATGAGTTGGCTCCTCAGCAGGGAGTTTAAATAAATAGTTCTACACAGAGCTTTGATACCATAAACGAACTAGTCTAACTCAGAATGGCCATTTGTAACATTGTCCTAAGCCCTATACCAGTGGGGTTTTCTGCAGCTAAGAGTGTGTGTTAAGAAAAATAACATTATGTAATAGAAAAATTCACTCAGAAAGAAAGAAAACTTCATTTGGTGTCTCCCCAGGATTTTTCAGTCCCAGTCAGGAAACTGATAAATTAACCACTGCTACAGTTTTGAGATGAACTTTATAGTACCAACCTCTCTTCTCTCTTAGAGCTACTGCTCACAGACATCTTGCTGCTTCTGCTACTCTGGGACTAAGTTACTGTGTATTTTCCTTCACTGAGCAGCTGTAGAAAACATAAGGAAGAGATCATCAATTTTTACAAGGATAGAATCCACCAGCTGATTCCCCAGGTGCTGAACCTGATTTGGAAGGATTATTTAGGAAGATGACAAAGTATGTTGATGGCACACATTCATTTAGGATAATCAAAATGGCTCCAGAAGGATTTCAAGTTACTTAGCAAATAGGCAATAGCATCATGAGTGAAACTCCAACCATGAAAGAGGCAGATAAGTACCACCAATCAGAAAAGAAGTTTTGGAGTCCCTGAGTTTAACTCCCAAGTAAGAGCATCAGCTTTGTGTTGAACAGCAGATTAAGAAATACAAAATAGAAATCATTAAAGTATATTAACTAAGAATCAGAGTCATTAGCACCAAAGGGCTGGCACCAGATATTAACACAGTAGGACTGGAAAAGTGAAGTTCAATAATGATACTGAGAATCATACAAGAGTTTCAATAAGAAAAGCTAAAGAAAGTTCAGGTTCCTAGAGGTGGGGAAAAGGAAACATCTGACAGGATCAAAAATACAAAAAAATCACAGAAGAAATCAGTAAGGACTTTGCTCTCACCATTTCACAGCTCCTCACAAAAGACACACAGAGCCCAGTGGGAATATCAGACTGTCCTGGAAATTGACTGAGAGAGACTGAGCAGTACAGAGATTAAAAAAAGCAGCTCCTATAGCTGGATCTTACCTCACCTACCCGTCACCCACATCCACAATTCAAGGAATACATTAAGTTCAGATTGTGAGTGCCTAATTTAGATGGTTCAGGGAAGCAGAGATAGCAAGGGATGTATTTAACACCACTCTGGAATATGATGCTGGAGCTTCCTGAAAGACACAGCAGAGAGCTGCAAACACATCCCTGCCATGCTCAGACAGCTGTTACAGCTGAAATCCATGGTATTTCTTACAACTGTGATTAAATGTGCAGCTCCTGCCTGTCTCCATGGAGACTGATGTTGGCTCAGCAAAAAGTCACCAAGTGCTTTAAAATAATTCCTCTTCGTTTTGAAATTTCAAAGCACTTAACTTGTTTTTGCCTATCAGATGTTATTTTCCCAACTAAAACTGCAGCAGGAAAAGCAACCAAAAGCACTAGTAAAACTACAAAAATATTTTTAAAGCTCATTTCACATGCAGCTGGAAATTAAACACCAAAACATACATTAAAAAAAAAAAGAGAGAAAGGAATCTCCAGAACTAGAAATCGAGCAGTCACTTGCACAGTCTTCACATTATGTGTATTTGTGCACCAAGTAATTTATATTTAGCTGCAGAAGAATCCATTTGGGGATGATTCAGTAAAGTATTTTGTGCTTTGGCTTAATTAATTCTTGCCCTTTTTATCTAAAGGCTATCCCTTTTGGGAAGTACCTTTTCTGACACAGCCTTAATTGTCTAGTGTCAGGACAATAACAGTCCTTAAGCAACAGCATCTTTAAGAATCTCCCTCCTCCATCCATCCATCCAGTTTTGGTTTTCCTTTAAGGAAACAGAAGCTAATTCATTACAGCAGACAACAGCAAATTCTATCTTGTACAAAAAGAAACTTGAATTTAAGTTTCCCAAACACACAAACAGTAGCTGAGAATGAGTGCAATTATAAAGCTTTTTAAAAAAGTTCTCCAAATATACGGTGAGTTTAGTGGTAAAAATATTACAGTGTTTACAAAGCGTCCACAAATAAACAGGTAAATACTGTTGACAGTCTCAATTTAGCACAGTATTTTTTAAACCTTAAGTGTGGCCATAAACTTGTATTAGCACAAAAGGTTGTTTTTGTATATATATATATATATACACACCCAAATACCTCTTTTACCAGAAAGTCTTCAACTTTACCTCAAATAATTTGCACTTCTGTGTTGATAAATATTCCAAAACAATTTCAGCTAATGAACTGACTTTAAAAGCTCTTTGAGATCACACTCTGAAAAAAGCAATTAAAAGAGGTTACACAGGGTTGGTTTGGTATTTTCAGTTTTCAAAAAACGGCTGAGGTTGGCAGGGACCTCTGAGGTCACCTTGTCCAGCTCCTGCTCCAGCAGGAGCCATCCAGAACATCCAGGCTCCCCAGGCCCATGTCCACAGAGATTGTGAATATATCTGGGGACAGACAGACCCTCCACAACCTCTCAGGACAACATGCTCCCGTCCTCAGTGACCCTCACAATCAGGTGATAATCAGACAGAACCTCCTGTATTTCACTTTGTCCTCCCTGCCTCTTGGACACCACTGGAAAGAGCCCAAGACATGTTTTTTAACCCCTCTTTCAGATATTTGTACCCACCCATGAGGTTCCCTGAGCCTCTTCTGTAAGCTCAGCAGTCCCAGGACTCTCAGTCATACCATGATGGAATTTCCAGTACTACTTTCCAGTATTCTATTTTTCAAGACATTTACAAACTTAAACTATACCACTACTGAGCCTCATCTTTTTCTTTTTTGACACATATGGAGGAAGAAACTATAACGATCTGCTGGTTTAAATCATCTTTTCCATAAATAGTCAACTTACACACCCGTTTCTTAAGCACAGGAGTACACAGCACTGTTGGCCTTCTGGAGCTTCTCTGTCTTCATGGAAAATAAAGACAGTTTGTTTCACAAGCACTTAGGATAAATTAAATTAGGAATGGTGGCCACGTTGGTCAAGAGGAAATTTATGGGATGAAAAAATGCCTTTTTTCCTGTTTCTTGCATCACTCCATGAAGAATGTATTTTGATTTGGAGAAAAATTATACCCGTCCATTTTAAAACAGAATTTTAACATAGACTATAGATCAGGATTTTGCATTATAACTCAAATATGTTCTGAACTATGAGCAATAGGTAATTTGAAACAAAACCAAAAGCTTTTGCCCCAATAGAAACAAGAAGCAAACAGAGAAAAATGAAGAAACCTCTCCCACCCCCAAACTTCAGCAGTTTAAATAATTCTGACTGCTACTTGATTAGCCTTCTTTGTGATAGAAATGATGGGTGTTTTCCTCAGCAAGAAAAGAAGTGAACATGACCTCCTGAAAAAAATGTTTACTGAAATAAATGTTCTAGTTCCAGGCATCAAACCCACCATTTTTAACACTTAGGAAAAAAAAGCCCCAAAACTCTGCCTCCTCACATTTTTATATATGACATTAATTCATAAATACCAAGATACTAAGGAAATTTTAAGTTGTGAAGATAAACTTAACAGTGATGCAACGGAAGTTTAAGTACCAAGTTTAGAATAATGCCACTAAACTAACCCAAACCACAAATAAAATTATCTCTTTGCCCAATGAGGTAACTACAAGAAAATATCACTTTACTGGCCTGGAACAGACAGGGATAACACAGAGGATGATGAGGACCATTGGGATGAGAACTCACCTAAATTGTGTCGCTTTGTCTTCGCGTGCTCGTGAATATGTTTCTTTGTAAAACAGCCAAAGAAGACACAGTAGAGGCAAGAGTGGAGTCTGTTCAGGTGGGCACCACACATATGACAAATGCACGACTTTGCCTGAAACAGCAAAACAGACAGAGATTGTGAATGACAGAAACACATCCCCAAGCCCAGGTAACCGGGTGCAGTTCTCAAGGCCGCCCTTCCCTTTCACTGGGTGTCTCTGGTGCTCTGCAGCACAGAACAGCAGGGAAAATGTTCTGTCCTCATGTGAAAAAACCACCAGCTGGACATAACAGAGAAAACTTGTCCATTTGTCCAATAGATTTCCATGTCCTATCAGGAAGCAGGTCTCACGATTCAGATGAACACCAGAACCCAGGGAAAGCAGCTGCCCAGCAGGAAGGTTAAGTGGTGAAGAGGCAGGAGTTTTGGTGGTGGGACCACAGCAACAACTCTGCTTTTTCACAGCACCAACTTCACTGATGCACTCAAAAGCTGTAATATAACTTGAACATTAAAGTGTGTGGGGGCATGATATTTCATTTTTCTGCTGGAAGATTCTGCCAGATTCCCTCATTAGATTTTTCTACATTAGTCCACAAAACCATGGCGCAATATCAAATCCATACCAGCCAGAGTAACAGAAGTTGCCTTTGCCATTCTGAGACTGGCTTTGAACCAGGAGCTGAAAGCAATGGGCTGAACTATTCCCTAAAACTACCCAGAAAGGGCAGGTCTGAGGAAAGTTGCCTCAATTCATTGGAAATTAATACACACCTCTGATATGACAGTCTATGATAGCAATACGTTTTAACGAGTGAGGCTTAAGGACCAAAAAAAGTCATTGGAAGGTTAAACACACTTTTTGATTCAATCATATTTGAAGCACTCTAAGCCAACAGCATCCAAACCCACATCTTAGTGTTAAACTAAATGACTTCAATAATTTTTTTTAATTTACTCTGTCTAATAAGAGACTTAAGAGAGTTTTGAGAGTAAGTCTTTTTCCCAACCACATTGAAAGTAATTTAGGTTCAATACCATCTGACTGGAAGTTACAGACAGGAGAAATTCCTTGCATTAAATTCACTTTTCATCTCAGAACTGCGTTCAGACCTATGTCTAAGGGCAACCAAGTTTCTGTAACAGCTGAGAGCTACAAAGAACACTTGGAGGTATGTCTGGTTTTACAGCCTAATCTGAAAATACTATTTCTTTGCTTGTCAACGAAGGATCCTTTTCTCTTCATACTAAAAAAAATAAAAATTTGGATTACTAAAATTGTAAGATACCATCTAACCCAGGCAGTGCATTTCATCAAAAACAACCCACAAAATTCTTCAGTAATATTTACCCAGTCTGCCATGACTTAAAATTACTGTTGAATAAATGATGCACAATCTTGTTCTCTAGTCTGGCATTTTTCTCTCAGAATACTTTTGGCTTTTTAAAAAAATCATCAAAACAGCTTGCAATATGTTGCACCATGTAATTTATTTTCAAGCTCCTACAAATTAAGACTTAAATTCTGAATCTCACATGTTGTGTATTCAAAGTTATCATAAGTTGTTAGGGGAAAATGTTGAATCGAACTCCACACACCTACAGAAAGAAATATTTTAAAGTTGGGCCAAAAAAAATTCACCACCACCAGCACAATTTCCATCTTTAGAAAAATGCTGCAGAACTGTCAAACTGTTGCCTAACGGCCGCTTGTTGGCTGCAAAAGCTAAATAGGATCAGCCTATCTGTTAAGATTGCTGCTATGACAACAACTCCAGCAACCAGCTATTTTACTGAGCCAGCTAAAAATAAATCTTTTAGCATTAAATGTATTGTAAACACATGACATAACAAGCATGTAAAAGCTGGTCATTTTAGGCTGAAAGGCAGAAAATTTGTATCTTAAAGAGTTTTTATTGCAGTGGAGATTAACAGATGAAGAATGTATAAGAAATTTAGTGGTAAGTTGAAATAAAAGTTCAATCATGTCTTGAAAGGAAGCTATTTTATCCACATCCTCCTATTTGCTCAGTATAGCTCAAGATGGGTTTTCAAAAGTTGTAAAAAAACAAGGTTAAGAGACAGAATGCAGAAAGAAATCAATATCAAAAACCATAGTGGCTATTCTAAACCAGATTAGCTGGTCTCCTTTTCATCTGTCTGTGCTTTTAAACAATTTGCTAAGTTAAAACAAAGCTGCCACCCTCCTACCCCACCCCAAATAATCAAATTACTTTGTTTCATAATACTCCCACCCCTGCTCATATCTCTTGAGGCTACAGTCTAAGATAAAACAGAATACTGCAAATGAGTAATGAGAATCAGTTGGATCCATACAGTCTCCAGCTTGTTTTAAAACAGGATTCAACTTTTTAAAAAAGCAAGTTAGGTCTTGCTTATGATCTGGATACTTCAGGGAACTCAACCAGGATTTCAGCTATCAACCTATCACTTCTCCTCCAAGATACAGCAACACCCCTTCCTTATCCATGACAAAGAGTTTTCCCCTTCCTTCACACCCTCTCCCAGTATTATGCTGCTCCCTCCTCATTTTATTCTGCTCCCTTCCTGCTTCTCTCCTGTATTATCCTCACCCTCAAGTTCCCCACTCTCTATCTTTCACCCCCATACAAAATCCCTTGTCCTCATATCCACAGCCAGTGTTCCTTCAATCCATACCAAACCTCTGTCTGTCCCCTTAATTTTTGCTCTGATATTCCAACAAACCACACACAGAAACCAGAAGAAACTTGACCACAACCACAGAAACTTGAATCTCCTTCTGGAAGATTATAATCAGTTTTTTAAATGATAGAAAAGAGTGGTCCTGCACAATATAAATATGTGTGTATGCACATACAGAGAGTTACTGATAGTTCTGACAGCATCTCAAATCCCTCTGCAGTGTTTCACCCTCTACTGATGTCCTGTATTGCTGCCAGGGCTGGGGTAACTCACAGGTCCAGACCCCAGGATGGTTTTGTACCCTCTGCAGAGGAGGTTTAGGCCAGCAAAAGAAGGTGCAAACATCAGTACATGACACACACACAGGGGAACTGACTGTGATCACCTGTAAGACAAGTCAAGAGTGTACCTCTAAAACACTGCTCTCAATGCTCATGATACAAAATGAGCTTAAAAAGAAAGAAGCAGGCATCACTAAGTCAAAACCTAGAGTGCTGACACTCCAAATCTTCCCAAATTGTCAGAACAGCTTATTACTAGTTTACCATCAAACCATCAGAACAGCAGTGGAGAAAGTGAACACATCCACTGAGGTTCTGCCCTTGCACTTCTCAGTCCAACAGCTCCTGCTCCTGGCTCTGCTGTCCTGGGCCAGCTCAGGCTCCACCTAAAGCAAGAAGGTCACACAGGACAGGAGCATCAGTCCCTGTGTGACCCACAAACCTGTTTCAACTTCATGTGATACTGGCTCCTCAAATCAGCCAATGGCAATGGCAATGGAAATGAACTACAAAGCCAATAGTGCAGGAAAATCAAGAAGGATCCAAGAGCTATCACAAACTCTCCTTCTTTATTTGCAGCTATTTCAGAAATAGCTTTAGAAGTACAATTTCTATTTAACTGTATATGATAAGAGGAAAACATCTTTTTATAAGTTTTCCACTGAGGTACTTAGGAGTCTTGCCTCTTATGCTCACACTAAATATATCAAAGCACTTTCAGAAAAGAGAGGTTTTTCGCTAGGAGCTTATAAGCCAAAGACCTCCTACCTTTCACAGTCTGCAAAACATATTCACCACAAAGGTACAGGGGAAAAGATGATTGAGGTAATACTAACAAGACAGTGGGAGGCTTGGGAGGTTAAAAGATCATAAGGAAGGTGTTGTCACACACAAGTAACTCAAAGAAGGATATTCTTAAGGCAAACTTAAAGCAAACACCATTTATGGATGCCTGCAATGCTGGATCAGGTACAAATTTGTAGCGTTAGGAAAGTAAAAGCTTCCCAAACTAAATCTATTTCCCCATCTTTTAAAGTAAGTCTTTTGTGTAAAACACATATAGTGTTTGGACACATCAGAAAGAAAGAGAAAGTATTTAATTTTCTAACATGTTATGATCGTTACTGAAAGTTTTTTGTGGGTACACTTAATTTTCCAGTCCAAACCTTCTTCAGAAACAACTTTATTCTCAGTCTGCTGAGAACAGTCTCAGATTAAGTTGCTGGGCAGGTCTACATATGCCTACCTAGAGAATACGTGTGGGAAATTCTCCATGCCTAAGTTTACCACCATAACCTGCTTCGTTCCCCAGAAGCAACGTTTGTGCTCCAGAAGTGTTATCTCAGCTCTGCCAAACTATTCCTTACAAGGTTGTGCTTCAGAGGATTTGAAAAAAGGTGAAAGCAGCACTTGTGCAGAGCCTTAGGAATCTGTGACAGTTCCTGCAATAAAACTCTGCTTTTTTGAATTCTTAATCCTTTGCAGACATATGAACAAAAGTGAAGAGTCTGATTTAAGGTTTGCAATGTTCATTACCTTAACAGCAGAACAGGGGAAAGAAGAAAAAACAAACCCAAACCAGAAAAGTCAGAGACCTTAGACTGAATATTTTTTTTTTATATGAAGAGCAAATACCACCACTGGGCCACATATCAAGACACTGAAGCAAAATTTAAACATTTCCTCACATATTCAGTGTTCCAGGCCTTAATATTCACATGTTAGGAACAGTCAATCCTCTCCGGGAATTTTTGCCTATTCTATTCCCCTCGCTATGTTTAGATCACAGCCTAGACACAAGAGTTTTATTTTTATTCTTATTCATTCATCTTGCAACCAATTCTCTTCCAGATCTAAAGCAGCCACAGCAGCTCATGTTGAGTGATGAACAGTGTGCTTCCCTTGGCCTATTTTTTGAAAGGAAATAAGGACAGATAATAACAAAAGGCCATGAAACCAACCACTGCTTCTCTCCTTGCTGAAGATGGAGACCCTATGGCTATTCCAAGAGTGGTATTTCTTCTGCCCTGTGGGAGGACAGAGCCAGTATTAAAGCACAGCCCAGAGCATTTATTACTCTTGAGTACTCTGCACCTCAA